TCCAGTTAAGGAGAACTAAACTCAATGCTATTTTTGATGAACATCAAAGTCAAGTGAAGGCTGAAGCACAAAAACTTGAGGTACATGTACAATTTACATGTATGTGTACAGTATATGCTCCAATTTTATTCAAGAAAAAAGGACAGACAATAAAACATGTAGCTTACGATTACGAAATTGGTTCAATTTTTGTACATTTTTTTAATACACACATCATTGGCCTTGATGCTATAAAGAGCCTCCACCTTGTATAGCTATAAAGAGCATGCATTTATTGTATTTATCATTTCCACTCTCTCAATTGATTAGAAATCCCTCCAGTCCCTCTCTACCCTCATTCACTCTCACTTTATGATGTTGTTCCAGTTTGCTCAAGGAGCAGCTCACATTTGGGACACCCACAGTTCTAAACTAGATGAGGCGTCACGACAGCATAAAGAAGGTCTAGCTAATCATCGTAAGAACCATGACTTACGTAATCAAACGATGGAAGCTAATCTGGACTTTGTTATTGATAGAATGAGACAGTCCAGCTCTCCAGAGGTACACTGTACAAGTACATGTTGTACATACATGTACATAAAATACATGTATGCATGTACATAAGATACATGTATGCATGTACATGTACATGTACCATGTGGCATCTGAAATTTTATTTTGCAAATTTTTGAAAGTAGCTTTATATAATTTTATTGTGGTTTTGAGAGTTATTGTACTGGAGTCATGCATGAATTTCATTATACTATTATTTACGGTGTACATTGTACATGTACATGTACATGTATTTTTGTATATAGCTTTTGCTTGCACATGTTTATGCATGCAGATTCATTAATTGCAAAATAAGTACTCGGAAAAATTTGTATGCTACAGTATACTGTATGCCTATACTAGCTGTATTGTGTGCCTTTACATGTACATGTACATGTAAATTAAACTTCTCTCTCTCTCTCTCCCTCAGGAAGCCAATGAATATTTAAAGCAGTCAATGCAAATGCTGGACACTATAAAAGCCGGGTAATTAATATTGTCATTATCATCAATATTATTACTTATTATTATTATTATTTATTAGATATTTAACATTTCACGATGGGATGCTTTCAGAGTCTAAGAAATATCCAAAACTAGTAACAGACACTGTTGAAGGCTATGACAAAACAATATGTAAATATTTGAATGTGAGCAGAAACAACCAATCTTCGAAAACTGTAAATATATAGAGGGAGAAAGGAGAGAGGGAGAGCTAGAAGAATAGTTTCAGGTGTACATGTACGTGTTCAGTAATTTTTAAATTATTTTTACAGGCAAAAGGAAAGGTAAGGAAGTCTACAGGGACCCCAACTAAGAGAACCAGTGCTCAATCAAAGAAAACATCAGTAATTAGTGCATCACATGTACATGTATATATACTATGTACATGTACATATTGTATCTACATGTACATGTATTTTACATTGCAGGGATAATTTCCATCAGACATGGGGCAAGTACTTAAGCACTTGTGCTTATAAGCATTTTAGCAATGTGCTTCAAGATGTGCTTGAAGTACATTGCTATATTGAAGTATTTGTGCTTAAGCAATTTCCTCAGTGCTTTATGAGGTGCTTTAAGCATTCAAGTGCTTGCCCATGCATGTCTGATTCCCGTAGGTTGTGGTATAGTGCCCATGGCAGTGAATTTTTTGTTGCTCTAAAATTTGGCAAGACACCCTGTACTATATAAGCACAGGGTATTTTGCCAAAAATTGGTAAGAGAGAAGTCTCCATTTTACTATTATTTTCTAATATTATGCATGTTCGTATGTAGCATAGAAAGATTGAGCTGATTCCAATCAAAATTAGACTTTTTATGAAATTTAGAAGTTACTCAAAAAGTACTTGCCAGCTCATGAAGCATGCTTTTAAATGTATCTCAATTACTTGTACATGTACATGTAGTACGTCCATGTATGCTTTGTGGGAAACCCTGATACATGTAATGTACATGTACATGCATATTTTATATGTACATGTACATATACATGCATACATGTACATGTATATCATGTATTCATAGGCTATAGATGAAATGGTGGAACAGGTTATAGCAACTAGCGAAGGAACATCATTTTACATTTTATCAACTGATACACTTCACGATCAGCCACTCTATACATCTAAAAGTGACTGGAGCAATTCCTCAGTTTTTATCACACAAGATGAAGGTATATGTACATGTACATGTACATGTACATGTACATGTACATGTATTTACATTGTACATGTACTTGTAGATATTGAGGGAATGGCTGATAATTTTGCTGCTAATTCTGTACTTATTGAAGACTCAAAATTCACTCAAACAAAAGAATTGTAAGTCAGGATACTACTAGTATACCATGTACAACCTACACATCAGTATACTTCAGTGCATTATTAGTAAATCTCAGTATACTATTGGTATATTATTAGAATACGCCTCGCTTTTCTCGAACACATGGAGAAATGGAAGAGACTTCAACTTGAAGATGCAATCAGATCAACTCGAGAAAAAGTATGCCCCACCCACACTTATTATTAATTAATTAATTAATGGACCCCACCCACTTTTGTTAATTAATTAATTTAGGAGGAGGAGTTTAAAACAGAGCTCGAACTGCGACTGCATTTACATGAGCCACGCCCTCAAAGAGTCATAGAAGATATCAATAGCGTTCGAATTGGTAATAATGATTATTGTAATAAAATTATACGGGTGGCCCTGTAAATTTTTTTGGGCAACCCTGAAAATTTTTGTTTGTGCATAATTATAAATAATTTTTTTTTAATTGATAGTTGAGCTGGTTTCTCATGAAGAGAGAGTATCTGTTCACATCAAAGGATTAACTAACTTGCTTCACAAAGACAAGAACTGTGTGTCAGAGCTTAGTGTAGAACTAGATTTAAAGGTGCATTTATGTACATACAATACATGTACATGTATATTTGTACATGTACATGTACATTTATAAAAGAATAATAATAAAAATAAAGACATTGGCCAAGATTACATGTATACATGTACATTTATACATGTAATAATAGTAAAAAATCAATTAATATGTTTTATTTGTAGTACATGTAATTTCTTTTTCTCCTTCTTTATAGTTGGCTCAGTTTGTAGCAGCACTGGGTAATGTCTCCAGCTGTGTGACACACTGTACTAACTTAACGAGGTACAGCATAATAATAATAATAATAATAATAATAATAATAATAATAATAATAATAATAATAATAATAATAATAATAATTCTCTACATTGTTGTAATTTTTGCAGTCTTAGAAAAGTTTTAAATGAAGCAAAATCATTACTTGCAAAGGTACAGTGTACATGCATGTACATATACATGTACATGTATGTGCATGTACATGTACCTGTTTTTCATTACAATAACATCCTTCCTTTCTTCATGTAGTCCATTTCTTCATTCAAAGATGAAGTGTCCTCCCAGTATGAGCTCACTGTGGCATCATTTGAAGAAGCCTTGAGTTCAAACAATGACTACATCCAATCATTGAAGTTAGTATGTACATGTAGTCATGTACATGTACATGTATAATTGTTAATAATGCAAGTACATGTACATGTAAAATGGACCTGGTACATGTACATGTACATGTATATGCATGTACATGAATTTATCTTGTCATGAGCACTTTAAGTTACTTCAAATTTTTGCATAAAAACCATATGTACATGTACCTGTACATATACTGTATTGATGTTTGTTATGCGCTGTTTTAGGTTGTTTTCTGAAGGTGGTAATTACAGTATTGAGGAGATTGAGAAAATTAGACCGAAATTGGTACGAAAATGAATTAATGCACTAGTGTAGTATAGAGTAATTATTACTTCTCTCTCTCTCTCTCCCTCCCTCCCTCCCTCTCCCTCCCTCCCTCCCTCTCCCTCCCTCCCTCCCTCTCCCTCCCTCCCTCCCTCCCCCTCCCTCTCTCCCTTTCTCTCCCTTTCTCTCCCTCCCCCCCCCCTCTCTCTCTCTCTCTCTCTCTCTCTAGGATAAACAAGGTGACAGGATTAAGAAGTACAAAATACAAGTGACTGAAGACATCAAATCATTATCAGCCACTATACCAGATAGATTTGAACACGTTTTTAACAAGCACTTTATACACACGTAAGTATAATTATTTGTACTTACATCTTTATAATCGTCATCATCATCATCATCATCATTATTATTATTATTATTTTATTCTTTATAGCTATGAATATCATTTGGCTGACATATCTATGATTGATAGTATTGAAAACATCATTAGAAATTGTCAGATACTTATAAAAACTGAAGTAAGAATGTAGTCAAAATTAAGGGACATGACATTTTACATGTACATGTACATGTATACAGGTAGCCAGTAGTAATGGTCAATCTGCAGATATCAAGCAATTAGTGAAAACTGTTGAGCAACGATTAGAGGAGAAAGCTGTAAGTTTAGTTACAATTTACATGTACATGTACATACAGGTACATGTATATGTACATGTACCAAGCCTGTTGTATTAAAAGAATTATATTTGTACATGTACATGTATTCTGTGCTTGTTTTATTAGCAGTTTAGCAGCCATGTGTCATCAGGATGGAACAAAAATTAGTTTGGAGGCTTAATGTACTGTATATGCATGTACATTAGAGCTGTGAACCTGGGCCACTTAGCATAACCGGTTAACTGGTCACCAATAACTGACGGTTAATTGGTTAACTGATTGTTAAATGAAACTTAATAATACCACTATAAATATGTAAGAATAGTAAGAATTACGATAAATAATAAATTGTAGAGTTTGATTTAGTTGGCCAACACAACTTATATGCTCTTTTCAATGATATATGGCATTGTCTTGTGGGTCACAAAGTTCAATTTACTAGATATTGGAAGTGTTCTTGCCTGAAATATGATAAATTTTAACTTCACAGTGCATAAAATCATTAATTTCATAAAACCGGTTATAGCTAAAAATAACTGATAACCTAAAATTATGCTGTAACCAGTCGGTTAACCGGTTAACCTAAAACCGGTTCACAGCTCTAATGTACATGTACATGTGTATGATCATGAACATGAACATGTATTATGTATGTACAATTAACATGCATGTAATTGCCTCTGTTCTTTTCCCTCAGTTATCAGATGTGTACTCTTCCTTCCAACTGCTGTACAGTTCTTGTCAGACTCGTCTTAAGTATCTCCATTGTGTCCTATCCAGAGGAAGTGCTACTAGTTCAATGACTCGCATGACTTCATCTCTCACTTCCTGTCTCTCTCAGCCTCCCATTTCTGCTATTGATGTCACAAAGAGTATCCTGAGGTATACTGACATTCATATTGATGTACATGTACAGTGTCCTTATATAGCCCATGTAGCAGCTAGAGTCCATGCTTTTTTCCAAAAGATGGCTCCGAAATGACCCTCAATTTTTATTACATTTTCTAATGCATATTGATGTCCTTATGCGATGTAGAAAGTTTGAGCTGATTCTTACTTAAATTTTTTTTTAATTATGGCCAATTTAATAAAACAGCCAAAATCTGAAAAATACCCTGTACTATAGCCCATGGTTTTTTTCAAAAAATGGTTCCGAATCACCCCCAATTTTTATTACATTTTTTGATGCATATTGATGTCCTTATGCTATGTAAAAAGTTTGAGGTGATTCCGACTTAAATTTTTTGAGTTATGGCCAATTTAATAAAACAGCTAAAATCTGAAAAATACCCTGTACTATAGCCCATGGTTTTTTTCAAAAAATGGCTCCTAAATCACCCCCAATTTTTATTACATTTTCTGATGCATATTGATGTCCTTATGCTATGTAGAAAGTTTGAGGTGATTCCGACTTAAATTTTTTGAGTTATGGCCAATTTTAAAAAAACAGCCAAAATCTGAAAATTACCCTGTACTATAGCCCATGGTTTTTTTCAAAAAATGGCTCCGAATCACCCCCAATTTTTATTACATTTTTTGATGCATATTGATGTCCTTATGCTGTGTAGAAAGTTTGAGATGATTCCGACTTAAATTTTTTGAGTTATGGCCAATTTAATAAAACAGCCAAAATCTGAAAAATACCCTGTACTATAGCCCATGGTTTTTTTCAAAAAATGGCTCCGAATCACCCCCAATTTTTATTACATTTTTTGATGCATATTGATGTCCTTATGCTATGTAAAAAGTTTGAGATGATTCCGACTTAAATTTTTGAGTTATGGCCAATTTAATAAAACAGCTAAAATCTGAAAAATACCCTGTACTATAGTCCATGCTTTTTTTCAAAAAATGGCTCCTAAATCACCCCCAATTTTTATTACATTTTCTGATGCATATTGATGTCCTTATGCTATGTAGAAAGTTTGAGGTGATTCCGACTTAAATTTTTTGAGTTATGGCCAATTTTAAAAAAACAGCCAAAATCTGAAAATTACCCTGTACTATAGCCCATGGTTTTTTCCAAAAAATGGCTCCGAAATCACCCTCAATTTTTATTACATTTTTTGATGCATATTGATGTCCTTATGCTATGTAAAAAGTTTGAGGTGATTCCGACTTAAATTTTTGAGTTATGGCCAATTTAATAAAACAGCTAAAATCTGAAAAATACCCTGTACTATAGCCCATGGTTTTTTTCAAAAAATGGCTCCTAAATCACCCCCAATTTTTATTACATTTTCTGATGCATATTGATGTCCTTATGCTATGTAGAAATTTTGAGGCAATTCCGACTAAAATTTTACGAGTTATGGCCAATTTTAAAATATGGCTAATTTGGACTATAGCCTACAATCCAGTATACATGTACATGTATACTGGATTGTACTATTATTATTTATTATTGTATTAGTTATACAACTGGTAGTCCTGGACCATCTCAACCTGAAACTACAGCAAAAACAAAAGTACATAATTATGTACATGAACATACATGTATATTCCTTTTATTTACACTGTAATCGATTTTGACTTAATTTATACATGTACACATGTACATTAATAGGTTTACCCTGCTCATTCTCCGTCTACTGACGAAATGAAAGTACCAAAAACAGTAAACGTTTCAACACCAAA